CATTCAAGGCCAGGCTGGATGTGGCTCTGGGCAGCCTGGTCTGCTGGTTGGCGACCTGCACAGAGCAGGGGGTTGGAACTGGGTGAGCATTGTGGTCCTTTTCAACCCATTCTATGACTCTATGACAGAAGGATGGGCTGGCCATGAATGAAGGAGATGGGGGCTGCTTTGTGCTACAGAGAGCTCCATGCAGGTTGGTCAGATAACGGGAACCAAGCAAACAACAAAGCAGAGACAACAGCTGAGTGCTGAGCTCATCCTGCAGGGAAAGGATGCACACCTTTGTATCCCGCTCCTCTGATCTGTTGCTGCTCTCTCTCAGAAGTTATACCTACTTTCTATTGGATACCTGTTAGCTGTGAGATATGTCATGCCATCACAAGACATCTAAAAGGTGCCACAGGGGACTGGTGGGGTAAAGAAGGAAACAAAATACATTTTGTTTGCCGTCGGAGCTGCATTAAAATAGGGTAAATGTGGTTCCATAAGGATTTATGGCTCTTTTTTTCCCCTCCCATGTAGAGCTGTGTAACCACAGCACCGCCTGAGGAGCTCCCACAGCCGCACTGAGGAAGAGGCTCTGCGTTGAGTGTCACCCACTTTGCCAATGGAAGAAATAAAAGATTTTTAGCCTGAAACTGCAATCAGATGAAGTTTTCATTTGGGGACGGGCGGGGTTTAACTCAGCAATTAAAATAAAAGCACGTGTCACAGAATCACAGGGGTTGGAAGGGACCTCCGGAGATCATCGAGTCCAACCCCCCATCAAAGCAGGTTCCCTAAACCAGGTCACACAAGCAGGTGTCCAGGCGGGTCTTGAATATCTCCAAAGGAGATTCCACAGCCTCCCTGGGCAGCCTGTTCCAGTGCTCTGTCACCCTCACCGTAAAGAAATTCTTGCATATTTGTGCAGAACTTCCTATGCTGCAGTTTCTGGCTGTTTCCCCTCGCTCTGTCAATAGATTCTCCCATAGAGGGGCACGGTGCTCAGCGAGTTCAGCCTACAGCAGTCCGAACTGAACAGCAGGAGGGGATGGGTTTGCATTTTAGGAATTGCCGTTGCCTCCAGGGATGGGGCATCCACAACCTCCTTGGGTGAGGAGATTCTTTCATCCTTGTCCAACTTTTGCAATCAGCATAAAGAGCTTTTATCTTTTTTTTTTTTTGTAATTTCAAGGGATGTTGATTTTCTCCTCTCAGCCTTTGTTCCTCTAGAACCCATAAAGTGCGTTACCCAGCCCCCTGACCCACAATAAAGGCGGCTAGGATGAACCGAGCCCCAACCAGCCCTGAGAGCCACCGCCACCAGAAGCGTCCCTTAAGGCGGAGGCGTGGAGCGGAAGGCCCCGCCCACCTGGGTGTCACGTGGCGCGTCGCGGGTTGATGACGTCAGAAAGTACGCGACGCGCGGCGGCGGCGCCGGGATGCACCGGCGAGGGGTGGGCGCGGGCGCTATCGCCAAAAAGAAGCTGGCGGAGGTGAGGCGGGGTTGGGTCCGTAGGGAGGAGGTTCCGGGCCCCGGTGGGAGCTCCTAAGTGCGTTCGTAGGGGGTCAAACTCCGCCGGTGTCGGGACAGGTGAGCTGCCAGGCTCCGGTGTTCCCGTGTGAGGGGTTCAGGTCCCTTGTGGTTGGTGGCAGTTGCGGTGTCCGGCTCTAAGTGGGGTCCTCAGCATCTCCGCAGCTGTGTCTGCTCGGGGTGCCCCGAGGTTTCTGGCAGTTCCCTCGTTTGGCTTCTGGGTTTGTATGTCCTTAAGGAGCACTTCTCTCACCCAATTTGGGGTTTGGTTCTTCTGTTCTCCAGCGCTGGCTTTACCGTTCTGTTTTCATCCTGCAGGCCAAGTACAAGGAGCGAGGGACAGTCCTGGCTGAAGACCAATTGGCCCAGGTGGGAGACCCAGCCCTGCTGTGGTGTAACCGTGTTTGTCAGCCCAGCTGTAAATCCAGGCGTCATCTCGCACTGTTTCAGGGTTGGAGCATTAAATGATGGCACCACTGGGCTGCTTTTTCCTCTAAGAACTGTGCTGTTTGCTGCAGACGTTGCTCTGCTTCTCTCCTCTCCATCTTAGCAACATCTCATTTTTGTAGAGCTGTTTCCTTCCTTTTGAGTGCATTGAGGCTGGGCAGCACGTCAGAGTGCTGCGTGTTGCCTTAGGGCTGTGCTTGCTTAATGTGTACTGGGGGCTGTGTTCACAGAAGGATTGAACAGAAATTCTTTTCTCTGTCCTTCAGATGTCTAAGCAGCTGGACATGTTTAAAACCAACTTGGAGGAGTTTGCCAGCAAACATAAGCAAGAGATCCGAAAAAACCCTGAATTCCGGGTCCAGTTCCAGGATATGTGTGCAACAATTGGAGTGGATCCTTTAGCATGTGAGGACCAGGCAGCAGGGGTTAACAGCTGAAGATCCTCCTGGGAAGGATTCTCAGTGAAGCTGTTAGAAATTGTCCTTGGGGAAGTCTGATGGTGTATTGATTCTTAGGGTTTGTGAATGCTTTAATATGCTTTTAGGTGATACGTAAATTTAAAAGGGAGAAAAGAAAAAGGTGGAGGTAACCAAAGAGGCTTTTCACTGAGATCCTCACACTGAGGTTTGTGAGCAGCAGTGGCTCTTAAGGAAGGTGTTTTTGCTGATGGTCCAATTGCTTTCTTTTTTTCTCATTTCACAGCTGGTAAAGGATTCTGGTCAGAAATGCTGGGAGTTGGTGACTTCTACTATGAATTGGGTGTGCAGATTATTGAAGTCTGCCTGGCTCTGAAACACAGGAATGGAGGTGAGGATCTCTCTCTGTCTGTCTTCACTCCAATAGTGCAATCTGAGGCTAAGAGTGGGCAACAGCAAAGCCAATAGGAGCTGGAATCTGATACACCGTGGGAGTATAATGTGAGGCAAGAGTGAGCCAGTGGTCAACACACAAAGAAGCCTTCACTACTACTGCTGGAGTAATTTTCTTGCTGTGCAGTTATGCTTTCTTGTCCCCTTTTGTTGACTCCTAGGTCTGATAACACTGGAAGAACTTCATCAGCAAGTGTTGAAGGGAAGAGGGAAGTTTGCTCAGGAAGTCAGCCAGTGAGTGTCTGTGTATTGTAGGAGAAGGGAATAAAGTAACATGAGAAAGAGGAAACTGAGTGATTGATCTCAGCTGGGCTTGAAGGTGCTGCTGTTAATTGGACTCCAAATTCTAGCAATTAGTCATGTGCATGTGCTCTGTAGTTAATGACTATTTCAGGAGTGAGCCAGAAGTATAAAGAGCTGTTGGCTTGGGCTGCAAATGCTGCATTCCTATTGTCACAGTCTGCTGAAGCTGCTTTGGTCCAAGCTGTAAAGGAAGGGACTGATACCCTTTGCCTTAGAGCAAAGATTTTAGGGTTAGGATACAATTCCCTAGAATTGGTAATTGGGGCTGAATCTTAAACTTAGCACTTGCAGCTTGGATTTTACCAGTGTCCCTTTGATGGAACTCTGTATTTCTGTAAAGGGACACAGATAAATTAATTGTAAATTAATAATAGGAGAGAAATCAGCTGTCGATTATCTGAAATTGCAGCAAGCTCCAGTAGCTGTATCTTATACCCTCTTCACATGAAGTCTTCCTCATTTACTAAACTTAGTGCAGTTTGGGAGAGGCTTTTGGCTTAAAGCCCTGCATTAACTTCTGCTTTCAGAGATGATCTCCTTCGTGCAATCAAGAAACTGAAGGTCTTGGGGAGTGGCTTTGGGATTATCCCTGTTGGTGGAACGTATCTGATTCAGTCTGTACCAGCTGAACTGAACATGGATCACACGGTTGTCTTGCAGCTTGCAGAGGTATTGAGCCAGGAGACTTTAAAATGCCACCTCGAAAGAATCTCCCTGCTTCTGTGACAGGGAACACGTGGAGTGGAAAATAACGTTCCAGCAGGAATGTGAATCCAGAGTTCCTGCTCTGGTTAGGTCAGGGCCGTGGGTAAAACTGTCCACACTCTTCTAAACTGTGGGCTTAAGTCTTGACTCCAAGCATGCTATTTTTTTTCTCTCTTTTCAGAAAAAGGGCTATGTAACAGTTGGTGAGATCAAGTCCAGTCTGAAGTGGGAGGTGGAACGTGCAAAGCAAATTCTGGTATGTATGAGGGCCTCTTGTGCGTGATGGAGGTCGGTGACAGGGTAGAGTGGCTGCTCCTGCATCAGAGCTGCAGATGCTTTGGTGACTGTGTGTGTTGTCACAGCATGCACAGGTGATCCCAAGCTAGGTGGCAAAGGCACCATATGCACAGGATGATATTGCTGTGACTTCACTAATCTCACTGAAATTTGGGATGTGTTAGCTCTGCTCCTGCATGACTAGATGTCCAAACTACATTTTCCCCTGCTCAGGATGAGTAGAAATCTGAGTTCTACACACTCCTTTACTGTACAATAAATGCAGGGTGAGGCCTCCCCTGTGAATGGCTTGTCAGCTATCTAGTTATGCTGTGCTCATGGTTTCTGCTCTGTTTGAATAGGAACACTTGCTGAAGGAAGGAATGGCCTGGCTGGATACACAGGCAGCAGGAGAACCTCAGTACTGGCTGCCTGCTCTCTTTACAGAGTTGTACTCTCAGGAAATCACTCCAGAGGAAGCCAAGGAGGCAATACCTTGACTGCTAAATGTTCTGTGCCTGTATCCAAGTCTGCTTGTGAGGGTACTTGCATATCACTTGAAACAGAGGGACAGTGGACTTGAAATAAAATTTTGTAAAAAGAAGTGTCTAGCTTGACAAGTTTCATAGGACCAATTCATGCTTGGTTACCTTGGGATTTTCTCCTCTGTTGTGAGTGGAAATAGCACTACTTATTGCAGATGGTAGCTACCTCCTCCCAGCAAGAGGAAAAGTATTGCAACTGCAGTCATGGAGGATGCAAAAATGACTGTCTAAAGATTCTTGCTGCCTGCAGTGATGCTTCTAAAGCCACTCAGAAACGGTGCTGCAGTCCTCTGTCCTGTGAATGAGTCGTCGTTCCACCAAGGAGTACCACAGTCTAGATTCTGCCAAAACAAACTTTATTGCACAAAAAAAAATCTTATGTACAATAGTATATAAACAAGGAATCTTAGAGTGACTCTTGTGCATATATTTTTGACTCAGTTAGGTCTAAAAATCTGTTGCTAAAACATCTCTGCCTAAAGCAGTCATTTGAGGATTGTCACTTTGAAATGGAAACATTCAGAAATGGTAGGACAGACAACATTAGAGCTAGAAAACTAATACTTCTCTTTTACAGCCACATGCTAGTTATGTGAATAGTGTCCACAATAAGGCATTTTCTTGTTTCATTGTATGGGTGGATGGTAATGCCACATGCATCGCAAACAGATTTCAGAACCAGCTCTGCCTTGAGAAGGCAGCAGAGTCACAGCTCTATCCACAATGCTACTGAATGGTGACAAACAACGTGACATTTACAACAGGATTACAGAGGCAGAAAAGTAGCATACTGCTCATGATTTCTCAGGAGACCCTGCTGCCTCCCTGAGACCTTATCTGAAGGTGAACACAGCTTTATTTACTCTCTTTTGGTGTATGTGTTGAGTGAGTCCTATGTAAGTTTAGCTTTCCCTTGAGGGAAGGTAAGGTTAAAGTCTAATTCATACCAGTGACAGACCCAGGGGAGGTTGCTTGCTAGAAGGGAGGAAAGGTTCCCCTACTTGTTAAATGGCACATTTACAGTTCACAAACGTTTCCACCTTCCAGAGCTGCTTAGAGAGCAGTGTGCAGGCTTCTAAGTTCTGCAAGAGCCAATATAAATCAGAGACTGAAAATAATTCAGTGACGTATAGGACAATGCCTTTCTGTGCAGTGCATGGCAGGGGTCTTTTGGCTTTTCCTCCCGTGCTTCTTTTGCTTTTAGAACAAGAATGACTGCACTGAATGTTCTCCCACTACCAGTATGCAGCAGAGCCGTGCTGGGGGAGAGGGAATGGGACAACGTGCAACTTTGTGCTCAGCTTTCTATCAGCGTCCTCATGAAAAAAGTGGATGAAGCTATTTACCAACAAAACATTTTACTGCTTCCATCAATCATCCCCGGGGTCTTTCACCATGGAGAAGCTTTTATTCACCTCCACCCAAGTTGCACTGAATACATATTTGACATAATTGCACTTGCAGCCAGCACACACCTCTCCTCCAGCCTTGCTTTTGCTCACGGTAAAAAGCTGCCATTTAAAACATTCAAAGTACTGAAGTGTTAACTTTACAACACTCGTTGAGCTTGGCCAAGTTTGGCAAAGGAATTTCAGTCAGTAACTAAGTGTACACCTCTGGAAAGCTCCACCTAGAAACAGTGGCTTCCTGAGCTAAATTGCCCCTTATCGTAGCATTTCAGTCTGAGCAATGATGGTTGCTGTGGGGAGGGAGGTGGCAGGAGGAAAATGAAATATTACACTGACTGGAGAGATGGAAAGCAAAAAGTACTTCAGTGAAGGAAACAAACCAGCTCTCTGTTCAGAGCAGCCAGAATAAAACACTTCTAGAATACTAAATTCAAACCAAAACCTTAAAGAGTTACACAAACAAGACTTAGGGTTTTTTTTTTTAGTGCTCCCCTATCTCTGAACCAATGATTTTCTCGCCTTCCCCTTCCCCAAAACACCACAATGAACAGACCTGCACTCAATGTACAGATTCTTGCCTTTTCATCCTCCCCTTTTGTGCCTGAAATCTCAGTGGATGAAGCCACCCACGGCTTGTGTAAAGCTTTCAGAAAGGAGCCCAGATTCCACCACTGCTCTTTATCTTTGGTCTGTCTAGAACAGTGTCTAGAAGAAAGACATCGGGTAGATGGGCTCTACAGAGCAAACAGGCTCCATCTCTCCCAGTCTGCACAAAAAGGTTTCATCCAGGCACACGGTGCCTGGGCCATGTCATACCCCAGACTCATCAAAGCGCTCCCACAGCTACAGCTCCATGTTCAGCATGGCCCCAGGGAAGGCCTCACTGTAGGAACAGAAAAGCTGTAAAGAGGAGTCGCAGTCTACATCTCATTCTTTAATCAAATGGAGACAAAAATAATAATAATAATAATAATAATAATAACCAGTGTAGATGTTTTTCAAAAAATAACCTGATGCCACATGCTCCGGATTTCTAGTAGAGTAAGTACCTTGTAAGAGTAGCCTGTCACAAGCTTGGCTTTGTCTAGCATGAAGTCTTCTCGTTCAGCGTTATCCACCAGAGCAGTAAAAGGAGACAGAAGATATCCCACAGTTTTCTCCACTCTGGCATTGGTTTGGTTGTTGAGTCTGTCAGGGGTACTCTAGTGTGAAGACAGAACATCCCCACGGCTTGGCCTCTCCGTTGGTAACGCAGCTCTAAGCTTTGGAGCAGCCCTGAGTGTCTGTCTCTGTCTCAGAGGAGCTGCTCTCAGAGTCTATTTCTGTATTCTCCTGCTGATGTTTCTCTTGCACCTTCTGCCGAATTCCTTGCAAACGGATTAATAGGGACTGATAGTCAAAGTGGCCTCGTTTTTCTCCAAAAGGATCCTGGAAGGAAACCAGAGATGAACGCATTCATATACACCTCTTGGCAGAAGGATAATGGTCTAAAGAAAGCTGTACAGTAACTGGCCAGCAAAGAGTTGAATTCCACCTTGTGATCAATGGGACCGTGTCAGTGGCCTCACAAAACTCTAAACTGATACCAATTGCTCTTCCCTTACCCACCAGCAGTCATTTTGTTGTAGAAGGCCACCAGAGTCATCAGGCACAGCTTGTCCTTTGTGAAACTACATTTTAAATCAAGATGCTGAGCTGCTTAAACACTTACTGCTTTTATCCCTATTCCATGTTAAAGGCAATTATCAGGGCTATATGAAGGAGTGGTGAAGTTTCACCTGTCCCATGTGGCTCCAGAGTTAACAAGACAGCACATCTGCCAAGCACTGAACCAATATTATATCTGTCTAGAGTGACTTCATTTCAAATACAGAGCAGTGGAGATAACAGTAGCAAATTGTGTTCAGACTCCCTGCACTGCTATTTACGTGAGCAGAAAACAGACTGTGGTAGCCACCAGCTCTGCTCTGAGCACAGCAGTCCCAAGCCATCGTGTTCTTCAGAAGTAACCTAGCTCTGGCTCCTTGAAGAAGAAACAAGAGTTGATCACACCTGACAATCCTCTGATCTCACCAAATACAGCCTTCAGCACAGTGCTCTCATTTTCATTTCTCGTTTTCAGGAATTTCTTGCTTCAAACACGAACCTTCCTGCTTCAGGAGTGCTTTCATGTTATGAATTACACAGTCAGTGATGGCACTGACAGGAAAGAAGGGCTCAGATCAGAGACACTGGATCATTAAATCAAACACCTCCATCTTTTCTTAACAGTGAGATTTCTCAATGAGTCAGACAAGAGGTGCCTGATGAGGGAGGAAGACGTGTTCAGATGCAAATAGCTTGGCAGTCTATTCTGTAAGGTCTATTTTCCTACAGAAATGAGCTCCTTTGTTCAACCTGTCTGGATGTATTTGCCATATTGTCGCTGTTCCCCTAATCCTTCCTCCTCCAGATACTTTTGCCTCAGTCAGCCACTTTCAACTGCATCTTACAGAACAACTCTGACAGTGTCAGAGAAAAGTTCCTATCTGTACCAGCAAAGAAATCCATGAAAAAGAAATCTTACCAGCACCTCAAGAAAATGATGCAACAGAGCTCAGCTGCCATCAGTATTGCATAGACTCTATGGGCCTCCCCTGCTTAACGCCAAATCCACATGAAAGCAAACTGCACTTCTTTAAACAGTGCTATAAGTATCTGCTTGCTCTGAGTGTGGCTCAGGTCCAGCACTGAGTGGAATCCAACAGCCATGAAAACACTGTGTGCATACTCCAAACTCAGGAAAGTTAGTGTTTTATTCACAGGAGTTCCATGGTTAACTCAGAGTTGAGTTAACCACAGCGGATAGAAACTGTGGTTGAAGCACAGCTGATAGAAAAGGTGCAGATCCACCCCATGTTGCACATCACACAGTGCAACTGTTTGTCACTATGAGTGTATTTGGAATCCAAGTTCTGAATTGACAAGAAAATCATCTGCTACCCACCTGCATCGTCTGACCTTGGAGATAAAGTCTCTCTTTGCACACCCCTTCATAGAAGTCGTAGTATTCCATGAAGGATTTCTCCATTACACCCCTGAACATAATCAGAGAGCAAAGAGTCAACACAGAATGACAGTATTACAATGGTGGCATCATCCAGGGTCACAGCATCCCACTGAACCACAGTCATGTAATCAGCACAGCTCAAGCCAGACAACTGGGTACAGCGAGGCAGGACAAAGAACAAAACAAACTGCAGCATTGCTGCAGCTGAACAGACCCTGCACGTGTTTCTACAACAGCTGTGCTTTTCTCTCTGTCTGAAATGTTCTTTTTTTTTCCCCTCTAAGAGAAGGCACATTTCTTCCCAAACACAAATCAGAAGATGAAGCCATTGTGCACAGTAACACAGCTTTGATCATTGCACAGCTCCTGGGCACGACAGAGATGCAGTCATCCATTTCAGAAGAAACAAAACCACTTTGCACTAGAGCAGGACGATTTAAAGATTCCTCTTCTCTGGAGCACCTCTCAGGATCTCAGGAAAGGCAACCAGAGAATCTCAACCTGTTTCCCCACACCCGTTTTCTTATGCTCCCTCCCTGCCTCCTTTCCATACCGTAGTGGCTCAGGGCAGGGACACTTTCCTTCCAACATGTCACACACTGCTACTCGGATGGTCTCATGCCGAATACACTCATTATAGTTCTTGCTGTCCCCAGGGTGCCTCTCCTGGAAATAGAATTTGGGCCAGTGAGTCCATGTTACTGGAACGGCTCTTCGTCTCTCTCTCTTGAGACTGATGAATTTCACTGGTGCATGAACCCACTACAGCTCTGTCTGTTTTGTGTATGCTGAGCTAATTTATACAGGAGAAAAAAAAAAAGGAAAAAAAAAAATAGCTGGCACCATTTTCTACATCTACAGAGTCTTGGACTCGCACAGCTGGGGAGGCAAGTCAGCTGATAGCTGGCACAGAAAGCTGCCTCTCTCTGGGATGCCAGAACCATGAAAACCTGAGCAGTTTGGTTTCTGTACCACAGTGTGTCTCAAGGAAGCTGCATCAGGAGCCATGTAGCAGAAAAACGCCTTTTCTTCTTCTGTTACTTTTCACTATGAGAGCTAAGCAGCCTCCAGTTCAGAGCTTTGTAATTCCCCCCCCCTCAAGCTCTGACCAGAGGCAGAGCAAACTGAAAAAAAGCCAAGTGACACAGCCTTGCTTTGTCCCCATTTCCAGAATGTGTTTCGTTACCAGGTCAAGGTGTGGAGTGAAGGGAGAAATTGCTGCAGAACCAAAGATGAACCATCTCCAACTCTCACCTGCTCAAAGCCAGGTTCATTGTGATACGGGTTCTCAGTCATCAGAGACTGGATGGAGATGAGGACTGAGGAGATGCTCTGTGCTGGGCTCCACGCAGGCCCGGTCCAAGTGCTGAAGCATCAAAACAGAAAAGGATCAATTAACAAGGCAGGATCAGCCCAGCAACAACCATCTCTCTAAATATCAAAGATAAGAAAGCTCAGAAAACACATCTTCACCTTACAGAAATGACAGGAGAAGTAACAGCTGCTACAGAAAGACAAAGCACTGCACACTGAGAAAGTTTCCAAGTCGAAGGCAGTTTATTCTCTCAGTCAAATGAGAGCATTAATCTGAGCCATGCAAGAGGCTGGGGAGCTTCACAGCTAACACACAGAGGGAATCACATGTGAGCTGAGGAAAAGTACCATCTTCAAATACCTCTCAGTGCACTTCAGAGCTATGGCTGTAATCTTGTACAGCACCCTGAAGCAACACATGCTGCCAACACTACAATAAGTCAAGAACTGCAGCTGTTTAAGAAGTTAAATCTAACTTTGCAGACTCAAACAAGACCATTACTTGGGCAGTTTGTAATGCAGACAGCACAAGGTCTGCCACCAAAAGCACTCATGGATGCCTTGCTGTAGGAACAAGGTGCTCCTTTAATATGCGTGGTGTAGCAAAAACCTCCGCACAGAACAACAGGTCAGAACTGCTACTTGCCATTAATATCCCAGCTCCAGATAAAGAGCTGCTTCCCTGGGAGCTGAACAAGGATGTACTGACCCACATATGCTCTTCCTAAATTCATTCACAGCTTCCCATTGCTGGTAAGGCTGAGGCTCTTTGTTCACTCTTCAATAATTTAGCTTCCATGCCAAGGCTACAGTACATGAGCAACGAGGCAGCTTGCGTGGAAGCTGCTGGGCATTCAGCCCCCTGAGCTTCAGACAAGCCCTGCACACCTCAGTGCTTCCCAGGCATTGGCATCCAGCTCACTGGATCAGAAAGGCTCCCTCACTGAGGAAAATGTTTCCCAGCACACTGCATCTCTCACCCAGCCCTGGACCAGCAGATGAGTATCAGTGACTTGAATCAACTTTAGCATAAGGGACACGGTGCTGCTGAAACCATCCCAAAGACAATAACCACAGCTGTGCTCAGATTCCTGTTGTTTGATGAAACCCCTCCAGCAATTCAAGACATCGCTGCCCTTTCCCCACTTGGCTGCCTCTACCTGCACCAGTCCAGAGCCTCAGCAAAAGCCTTTTCTTACTTGCAACTGAAAAACCATCACAGCTGGGGTGGGGAATATCACACTACAGCCAGAGTCCCTCTGGTAGAGCCTAAAAGCCACTGAATCAGCCAGGACTCAGTTTAAAAACCAAGTATGTGAGTAACAAGCATTTGCAGCAGTGGAGCCTGTTGGAACAGGCAGCATGGGAGCAGGGATTGTAAATCATTAGACCTACCCAGCCTCACATACTACATGTAGGTGGAAGCCCAGAGCACTCAAATGGCTTTCAAGGAAGTTCTTAGAGGCTTTTAATCTTATTTATTTTTAAACCCACACAGAGGGAGGAAATTAAAACCACGAAAACCTGCATTCAGAAAGCATTAAGGATCAGCTTGCAAAGAGCAAGAGCAGAAGAAAGGCAGCGCTCAAGCCAGGGCTTTGCAAGGGGAAGCAGAAAAGTGACAGTATGCACTGAACTTCATGCTTCCCCTGCTCCGCTCTCAGATGCTTTTAGAGACAAGTTAGACTCTGAGCTCAGAAGAGGAATTTGTGCTGCTTTACGACTCTGATCCAGTGCATAACTTTACAGAAGCATAGAGGTGCATCCAAGCATGTCTGGGGCAAGATCAGGGCACAGAGCATTGAGAAAGATGTGCGAGGCACAGAGCAGCCAGTGGCTACCTCCTGATTTCCCACCAAAACAGCCAAAGTCTCCTCTTACCCTAGAATACTCAGGCAGACTTTCCCATTGCGGTAGAAGTTGGGGTTAAACCTCACTGTGTTATTGCCCGTTGTCATCAGTTTGACCCTTGGCGGGTGGATGGGATAATCTGGAGGACAGCGAAACAGGAACAAGAAGAAACCCCCTTCATAAGGCGTGTCAAATGGGCCTGTGATCAATGCATGAATCTGGAAAACAAAAGCCCATCTTGCGCACCACTTCAACATTGTGCAGCACCATCAAATCCTCAACAAAGCCAACCGAAGGCAAGCAATACCTCCACCCAGGCATGGACACGGCACCTTCCCCAAGCACACGCCACGTGCAGGCCATACACAACCCCCCCCTCTTTCCCTCCTTAGCCAGAGCCACTGCTGCACCCTTCTCTCCCCTCTGCCACACTCAATGTGCAGAGCAGGTTTCCAACGCGAGGTTTGGCCACAGTCCACGGCAGCTGCCTCCCATACATCTCAACACAGTCCAAAGAGGACTGAATCACAGTTCAGCTGGTGAGCTCTGCTTTAAAAAGATTTCAAATATGAAAAAAAAAGGCTAATTTTAGCAAGAAAAAAAGGCAGATTTTCTGCCAAAACTAGAACATTCCTCAATTTTATGGTCTCATGCTGATTTGGTTTTATTGAAACCAATCATTTAATTACCTCTGCCAGGATCTGAAATTAAGACCCCATGCTCCCCTCACTAATTACCTTCAAAAATCTCGATTGCATACCAGGAAATCTGCTCCCATTGGGCTATTAGGGAAGCTTCCTCCTTTTCCATCCTCCTGAAGTGATCCAAGCAATCTCCTTTAATGATCCTCTTACCCACCTAGGATGTTAGTTAAAAACCCCAAGGCTGCTGTTCTACAAACCCGCATTTCTGCTGAAGGGCATTTTGGCACTTTTCAGCCTTCAAACCCAGGGAGGTCAGAGCTCCAGCAAAATGCCCAAGGTCTGAGCTGTCTGCATACAGACACTCCCTTTTGCACTATCTCCAAAAATCCAAGAGCCCTAAGCCAGGCAGGTGCTCACACTGAGGGAATCAAGGCAGTGCCAAGTCTGTCAAGGGGGTGAGAGAAGTGTGCAGCAGAGGAGAAACCAAAGCAACCCCATACACACACACACACACACACACACACACACACACACACACACACAGAGCTTTCTCAGAATCCAGCACAGCCAGATGAGGTGACACTGGCTGGAGAAAAGTAGCATCAGCCAAGGAATGCACTGGATCACGATCACTGTTTGAGCAACACCAGCCTCCAAGATCACTGCACTCTCTCAGGCGTAATTGGCAATTCCCTATCCTGGAAAATCCCTAGAGCCAGGCAGCCAGAAGGGGAAGAACTGGGGCAGGAGAGGCAAGAGACACACCTGGCCCTAGGGAACAGATGTGCTGGAGGTGATGTGATGGGAGTAGCTACACAGGTCAGATCTGCATGAACTCGTAGAATTGTTTGAGTTGGAAGGGACCTGTAAAGGCCAGCTGGTCCAGTTCTCCTGCAATGAACAGGGACACCTACAGCTCGATCAGGTGCTCACAGCCTGGTCCAACCTGACCTCAGGTGTTGTCTTCAGGGACAGGGTATCTACCACCTCTCTGGGACAGGGATGCTGTTACCTGTGAGAGCCAGGCAGGCAGCTCCACAGCAAGACAGCATCTGGGCCCAGGGATAAATCCCACTGCCAGATCACAACAGTTAAACACCTCTGCCTTCCATAGGTGACTTACATATAATTCAGCATTTCCAATGACTGACAGGTGTTCCTCATTTCCAGCCCCTCACAAAGCCCCCCACGCCCAACAGATTTCCATAGAACTAATCCAGTGATTCTTTTCAAGCATCTGCAGGGCAAAGAACAAGCTGGGTTGGCACTCCACTAGTTCATAGGACTGTCTTTATCTGTGGAAACTCCCAGGTTCCTGTGATGGTATCTCTCCACAAAACCATTTTTTCCTTGACAGCCTCCTTCCATTTAAATGCAGCCCAGATTGTCACCAAGAAAAACCAGAGCTGCACTGTGCTCTTACAGGACTCACCCTGACTTCTTGTTTTGAGAGAAGGGATTACACCATTTGGGAGAATCCTCAGAGCAGCCACCAAAAGCAACACACAGAAGAGTGGGAACTTGAACCCATTCCAAAGAGTCTCTTACCTTGGTCATGTCATGGGGATCAGGCACAACAAACATTCCCGGGGGCGGTTCCTTGTAAATGGACATAATATCCCTGCAACAAAGGAAACAGGAATTAGTCAAAATCTCCCTTGGTGTTCATCAGCCATTGAGGCATGGAATGTTCTAGAGGACGAATCTGCGTAGAGATGCAAAGGGACAGATTTTTAAGATGGAAATTTGCAACTCCAAGTGGTAGATGCTTTCCTTTGGTCTGACTGTTTCCTGGCTGAGTTCTCTTAACTTATCATAAACAATAGTTGAAGAGCACAGGCAGCATTCAATGAATCAGTGAGGCATCAGACCTCAGCACCTTGGCTACCTGCTGTCTTGCTTTTTACCCTGAATCAACTCCAGCACCTAGGAATTAACAGTAAGCTTCTCCTAAGGTCAGCACAAAAAAGCTCTCATTGGTGAATGTTGTCACCCAACAGAAAACTTTACCTCTCTGTTTTCTCTCCATACACTTGGGCTATTTACAAAGTCCCTTCTGCAGACCAAGTCACTTTTTTCCCCAACATACAGTGACTGAACTGTGTCCAAAAACCGCTCTGTCAAGTTTGGTTTTAATAAGACAGTTGGTTCAAGTGCTATTAGGAAGCACAGACACACGCACACAACTTCATCACAATGGTTTTATTTCCTGGGCTAAACGAACTGAAAAATATCAAGTTTACAAATACACCAAACAGCACCCATCACCTTTCATTGCCAAAAAGCTCCCCATCACAATCAGAGCTGAACTGTACTCTGGGACAAGCTACCACTAGACCTGTTCAGGAAGCAACCAGAATCCAGAGAGGTTTCAGGGCAAGAACGAGTTTGAGAACAACAGGAGAGCTTTGCCTTCCTACTCAGCATTATGAAGTTTATTGCTTTTGGTGTTTGGATGGAAAACTGCCAAAATATCTGGTGCCATCTTTGGAAGACATTAGACAAGCTCTAGAACAAGCAACAGAACAAGGATGAGCAAGAGCCTGGCAGGCAGCAATACTGCTCTGAAGGAAGAGGAAGAACTTGCTGTAACAGTGCCAATATCTCTAACAATAAAAGATCGTATTGCTCACGGTATCAAAGGCTATTGACATACTAGGTTTAACCAGATGATTCTTAAAGAGTCAGAGCAGCCAAATGGGTGGGCACCAACCAGGAAAAAGGATTGCTACCGGCAGGTTTAGGATAACATCTTGCAAAACTCAACTTGATTGCTGATGGGAGCAGAGGAGCTCATTCCCTTCCTATTTAACAGCATCTCCACTGAGCACGCTGCAATCCTGAGGGCAGGATGAGGGCAGCGTGCCACACAACGTGGCTGCCAAAGGCCACAGCAACAGGAGGAGGATATCCTAGAGGGTCTGTGGCCTTCACCCAAACACCTGAGTACAGAGCCCTGGGGCTGCACCTAAGAGAGCCCCGGGCACGGTAATGAATTACAGAATCATTATGGTCCGAAAAAACCTCTCAGATCATAAACCCAAGCCCAGCCCACCCCCAAACCACGACCCCAAGTGCCACATCTCTGCAGTTCCTGAACACCTTCAAGGACGGCAACTCCACCACCTCCCCGTGCAGCCTGCGTGCCGATGCCTCATTGCTCTTTTGGAGAAGAGATTTCTCCTAATACCCAACCTGAACCTCTTCTGGCACAACGTAATGCCATCACCGTTATCCTACGGCTGCTACCTGATACAGAGGCCGATCCCTTCCAGTGTTTCTCCTGACACTCCTCTTCCCCAGCGACCGCCAGGATCCGTCCCGATGACCCCAAGGACCCGTCCCCAACCCCAAAACCGGCTGAACCCCTTGGCGTGGCCCCGGTTCCCCGTTACCGGCGTAGGAAAGCGGGCGGCCCCGCACAACCACGGAGCGGGACAGCGGGGCTCCGTCGGAGCTCTCCGTGCCGGGGAAGGACAAGAGGAGGCCCCGGGGGAGGGGAGGGCAGGGCGGCCCGCTCACCGTTTGATTCGCAGCAGGCAGGCCGAGCTGGGCCGCTCGCTGTCCCAGTCACCGCTGACCGTGGGGTCCCAGAAGGCGGAATGCGTGAGGAGCGCGGCCCCCGCGGCCGCCGCCGCCGCTGCGGCAATGGGAGCTCCGCCGCTTCCCGGGGCTACGCTGGAAGCAGCCGGAGAAGAGCCGAAACCAGCGGCCGCCCACAGTTCGGCGGGGATGAAAACGCCGGGGTTCCCCGCGCCGCCGCCAGAGCTGGTCGAGGTGCCGCCGCCACCGCTGCCCGCCGCCGCCGCCGCCAACACCGCGGCCGGAGCCGACTCCTCGGCGGCCGGACTCTCCGCCATTCCGCGCCCGGCCTCAGAGAACGCCGCTTCCGGGACTCCGCACCAACGAGTCGGTCGGCCAGAGCGGCCACCGCCTCGCGCCTCCTCCACCGATCGCCGCCCAGAGCGTCACCTCCTACGCGCTGCCCTCCCACTACCGGCGCTGACTCCCCCCTCCCCCAGCTGCCATAGAGTCTCCTTTCGATACCAGAGGGGCCCTTCCACGGAGACCGCCCTCTCCTCCCAATAGGCTGTGCGTCGCTGCGCAACGGCGCCCCCTGCTGTGCCGGCGGACTGCAGAGGCAGAGAAGTCGGACTCTTGGAAATGGGAGTTTTTTCGAGGCTCAGCAGGGAAGCAGCTGCTACGGAGATGCTGAGCACGGCCCCGAGCAGCCATCACTGAACCATTTTACTCCCAAGGTCACTGCTGCCATACCAGAGATACACAAAATAATCTGGTTTAATCCATTTCATGCACAAAAGACCGACGTAAAGAAGAAACGCAATCAGATTACGCGCCAGAAAAGGTCAGGTAACACAGCACTGCGCTGTGAGGTGAGCAGCTGACACACTGCCAACTACATCATCTTAACTGAAGGTTCCCAGGGACCTTCACTGATAGTTTTACCCCCACACTTCACAGGGAGCACAGATAAGCTTCCCCCGTGCTCAAGAGAAATCTGCCTCTCTCCAGCTCACAGCTGTCTGTGATGCACTTTACCTTCTCACTGAAGGAAACATAAAAGCACAAGTTAAGTTGTGCATCATCCTCTCTATCAGCAAGGGTTTCTGCTACTGCAGTCCAGCATGGTTCACATTTAAAACAGATGAACTTCAGCTGAAGTAGAAATCCAGGCATACAGAACAGGGTCCTCTCCTTTGAGCAATTACGTATTTGTCCCCACCTGGCAACCTCTCTGAACATATAGAACCTTTCCTCTTTGCCAGCTAGTGGGTTTTGTCTGGGCTCTTCCTGGAGACCTTTTCTCCAAGCAGTGTCAAGAATGAGTTTGTCTGTTTGTTGTTTTTGGGCAGAAATCAAAACCCTTCTCCAACTCCTTTCACACTGCATAGGCAGCTGTTACAAAGGAACAGAGAAGTTACTGATATTCGTGTCCCCAGGCGTGTCCCAACCACGCTTCAGAGGCTTTAGTATACACAGACACTGCATTAATTCAATTACCTAAAGCTGATAACCAGACTAGCTTCCCACATGGTTACCTTCCTTAAAGGCACAGCTGTCTTACACTGGGTCCAAGATTCAGCTTAGACCTCAGAACTTCTTGCTCAGTGTGCTCCAAACTCTGAAACAGCTGAGGCATGCAACTGTTGAGAAAGAAATAACACTGTCTGTGGTCCTGTGCTTAAACCAAAGCTTTGAAGAGGCCTATGAACAGTGTGACCTTGAAACCATTTTTCTTTCTTTGTTAAAGAAATCTCAGATGGTACTGTAACGTATATCCTTGTGTACTTGCACAAGGACATATGCCATTTTATAATCCAAACTCCTTTAATACACTCTGTACACTCACCTGTACCCATCACCTTTTCAATACCATAATCTTCAGTAATATTATGTGGAGATAATAATGTTTTGTCAGCTCAAATATAAGAATTTGCTTTATTAGAGCAATGCTTGTTGGGATCACTGAATAAATCCGACACAGTGGTTGAGCTGTTCAAGGACATCCTCTTTTACTTGGCTGACTTCATTTCTCCTTGTTGCTGCCACCATTTCACATTCCCACTGCTTTATCAGTAGGTGTTCCTAGATCAAGAATATTACCCTCTTCAACTAATACATCAACATCCCCCAATGGCTTTCCCAATGATGGACCAGCACATAAGAAAAAAAAAAATAATAAAGCCACCACTTTATTTAGAGAAATCTTTTCTTTAATTGTCAGTCTGGAACGCTCTGATGGAAGCAGACTCAAACCGCCGAGGACAAAGTGATGGAAACTGCAGCCACGCCAGAAGTTGTCACATGGCAAAGAGGATAAGGAATGCCACCATCAAACAGAAGAGCCCCATGGCCTCAGACAGGGCAAAGCCCAGGATGGCATAGGAGAAAAGCTGCTGCTTGAGAGATGGATTCCTGCATGTATACAGGGGAGGGGGGGAACAAAAAACAACAAAGTGAAGGTAGAGAAAAAAAAAAAAAAGGACCCACAGTGAGAAAAACAAAACACAACTAAATAAACCAGACCCCAAATCACATCACAGAAAGCCAGGATTATGCTATACAGTCATCAAGCTTTGGAGGATGAACCAGATTTATGGCAGATAGCCACCATCTGGAATGAAAAAGCCATGATTTTTCCCTGGGTTTAACGATTTTCAGTAGCCATGTGAAACCCCCAAAGCTAATTTCACCTGCCCTGGTGGTACCAAGCACCAGTTGCCATTGATGACTAGTGCTTCATTCCTTCTAGGAGGAGGCAGAGCTCCACAGAACTTCTGCATCACCCAATAGTAAGTATAGGGTGGATTTAAACAGTTCAGGCATTTTATTTGTTTAAATGAAATGATGAAATATAACATTCCTTTTACATTCCAGAGAGGAATGCTTCAGTTAAAGTATGTGATTCTACACGTTACACATATAGAGTAGAACATAAGCACCAGAAAAAGCTCCTCTCCTCTAAGTTTAGTGCTAGAAAGGAATAAATTCAAGCCAGCCTGGCATCTTACTTACCTGGCATAGCCAATGATCAAGCTGCCAAACACTGTCCCAATACCTGCTCCTGAACCAGCCACCCCAACTGTGGCAGCACCAGCACCGATGAACTTAGCAGCAGTGTCAATATCCCGGGAAACTGCACTAGTTTGGAACTCACGGCGGGTCAGCTGTGGATAGGACACACCAGCTGGCTGTGGGATACATAGAAAACAGGTTAATGGCATTGAATCATCAATATGGAAGTCATCTTAATAAAATGTATTTTCACCGTTTATAATCTACTCAGGACAGAGCAAAAAAAAAATGCTCAGCTACCACTGGTCTGGGCTAGAAGCTATATCTCTTTACTAGCCGTTGTGATGATGTAAAAATCTTACTCCTCCACCTCTGGAGGAGTCATCAAAACATCAAGCACAGAAATACGGGAGCCAATTTAATTTACCACATAAAAGAGTCTTACCTGTACAGCCTGAGCCTCAGGCCTGCTGAACACAGACACTGAAACGGGCCTGGCCAGAGCCCTGGAGCAGCACCGGAACTGAAGCAAAACAGATCGTTAATTCCTACAGTTAGATGCACCCTCATTAATTCTCATAAAAGAACAGTGTTAGAAAATTTTCGAAATGTTTTAAGACTGAAAAAAGCATAGACAAATTTAGAGCATTCCTACTCCAGACAGTTGGATTCAGCCCACGAGGAATGCTGTCACAAGCTGCAGGATCACAGCTGTTACTTCACAGCTCAGCCATTATCACAACCCCAGAGGTTTCATTCCTAGCTTGTATTTTGTGACAAAAGGATGACATCTCTGTGATAACTGCTTATCTCACACTGCTGTTGGGCTCACAGCCCAACAAATGCTTGCAGGGACAGTGGGCATCACTCTGCAGTCACCAGAGGTCACCTTGTTCCCCCCCCTTTATTACCCACATATAAAATGGCTTTGTGGGACCCTCTCTCAGCCAGGACCGCCCAGAGTTCTGATCGCTGCCCCATTGGCCTCCATACCCCATTACACCCCTCTGCAGACAGTTCTTACCAGAGCCGGAGAGCTGAGGAGAGCCAAAGAAGTCGTCTGCATCTTGCTTTACCTATTACTAATAACGACAAGAAGGAATTAGGAATCCCAGTGCTGCCACATCCTCCTCGCGGCCCAACCCCACAGATCCAGAGATCCGCATTTCTCCCTTCCCTCATTCTAAACACCCCAAAACCACCTCAGCACAACCGAGTCCCGGACGGAGCAAAGGGACAGCACAGTCCCATCAAAGGGTACGGTCCCGGCCAGGCACACCCCACCGGCCAGGACCAAGGCCGCGGTGCCGCTCGAAGCCCCGGGGCCGCACACGGACCCCACCTGCGCGGCGTCCACTCCGGGCTGCGACGGCGGCGGCTGTGAAGGGAGAGCGCGCCCCCACCCCGCTCACCTTGCCGTGTCCCCCAGCGTCCTCCGCGCCGATTGGCTACCGCTACACGCAGCGCGCGGCATTCTGGGACAACATCCTCGCTCCCCATTGGCCGAGGTCAGGCAAGCTCCTCCCACCAGCATCCGGGATAGCAGCATGGGGCGGGAGGACTGTGTTACGATGCGGGCCTCCATTGGTTAGTTATTTTCGCTACGCGCTCTGCGATTGGCTGGCGGCCTGGAGGTCTCCCAGAGGATCATGAGGCGCGCGGGCCGCTCCTCGAATCATAGAGCTGACCATGGAGATGGCGGTCGTTGCGGCCCGGGCTCGGCCGTCCTCTCACGCTGCTCTCCGGTACACCGGAGGCTGTTGCGGCCGCTCCTGTTTCCCGTTCCATAAATAAAGGTCCGTTCGAACACTGAAACTCGTCCTTGCGTTTTGTTTGCTTAGCGAAGCACCCCGCACCGAAGGCGGTCCTTGCGCCGCGGCACCGAACTACAAATCCCAGCAGTGCAGGCGGGGCTGAGCCTGGGGAGGCGACCCTGGGCGGGGCGGCAGAGCCTGCGGAGGAGCGTTCTGCTTTTCCTGGTGCTCCGCTTCCTCCTCGGAGCTCTCCAGCCGTGCCTGTCGGTAAGTGAGCCGGGACAGGGTGTGGGGTCCTGGGGATGCCCTGCAATCCCGTTGTCCCCCTCTTCCTTCCCTCCGCTTTTGTTTCAGTGCAGGGTGGAAGGCTGATTGTGGACGGGGCTCGCTTACTGCTGAGATGCTTTCACATTCGATTCCCGGCAGTGAGTGCAGACTCTGGGCCGGTGGAGCTGGGAGCGGCACCCCGTTCCACTCCACGGCTTACGTAGGGATGCTAACAGGGGCTGCAGTCAGGGCACCCCCCCGTGGCATGTAACTTGGCACATCAGCTTCCTGCCTGCAGCTGGAAATCAGCCTCACTTAAGAAGGGTTTGGTCGTTTTTGTTGTTGTTGTTGAATCACGGGATGGATTGGGTTGGAAAGGACCTCAAAAATCACGTAAT